ATTTGGATATGTTCATAATTTGGTATGATTTGTTTGAATATTTAGCTCTGTTTGTAAGAAATATTTCATGTTTGCATAAATGTTTATCTCTTTTTGTTTGATAACAAAGGGGGAGAAGTGATTATCCTGATATTTGGATTTATGTTAATGTTTATATGACCTTAATTGTTGCATTTATGCAGCGGAGTAATTATGTTTATTTTCATAATGTTTTTGAAACTTGGTTATAAAATACATTACATCATTACATAAATTATTTGTTATCATCTAAAGGGGTAGAGATGTTGAATATAATATTCTATGATTATTATTTTGCATTGATTAAATTTAACAATGTGTGTTATTACAAATGCACTATCTTTTTATATTTAATATTTAATATTTTTCAAAATATGGAACAAGTGCAAGTGATTTCAACGGCTATTATGAAGTTAAAGAAGATGAGAACATATGAGATAATGTAATTTTACATTTTATTTACTTAGAATATTGTACGAATTGCCTATGATCACTCACACACATATATATTAGAACACACTCACAGGCTTATGCGTGTTGGTTAATATAGAATCCTATGTTATCTCATTAGAGTTATTAGTTAATATTTAGTATATAAAACATTTGTTCATTATTTTTTACTTTTAGTAGTCGATAATTAGTCGAATAGTGTCGATACTCAATGTATATGACTTAAATATAAGATTCTGTCAAATTTACAGTGTAGCGATAATTTGGTATAGTCATACTCAGCTTTATGACAGAATATAAGTTTCTGATATTTTACAGTATAGTCGCTATTGACATTATGTCGACACTGAGGCAATCATTTTCTCCAGTTTCTGTCAATGTCCAGTAAGTCGACTAAATAAACTTATAGTTCGGATACGTTGAGAAATTTTCTGAATTGTACCAGACTCTGTTTAAATCTGTGTAGTCGGTACTAATTTTCTTGTATATGACTATTAGTACAGTTTTTCCAGAATTTTAAAAGTTTGAATTTATGACTGTTTTTGCGTTTTTAAACGTTTTTAAAGTTAAAAATTTTGTCTTTTCAGGGCTTTATAAAATAGGTTATTTGTTCAGAAAATGCAGGACTTACTTACCATTAAAGCTTGTGATCTTTGTGCATTTTTTTCAGTGCAAAAAATATTCAGATTTGAAAAAAACGTTTCTGAAATTGTCTTTGACTCATTTCAAAAATACTTATTTTAGGTAATTTTACAGAAGTTTAGAATCATTCCTAAGCCCTACTACCACTACACTACAATCAGGTCTTATAGGCAATTAAAATTTTGCTTCAAAAGTTCTCTCGAGTTGTGAGATGCTGTTAATCTCATTGGTTTAGAGTATTTGGTGTGGCAAATGCATACGTGTTTGGGTCAATTTGCTGTCTGCAATTTACAGGGTACTTGAAATTGGCTCAGCGTTTGTTTTTAGTTTTGTAGTTTATTCAAAATCATAGTGGAATATACTCTCAAGCGGGTATTGTCTTTGGGATGGATGTACACCGGAATGGTGGACCAATATAAACGTTAGTAAAAAAAACATAGCAAAAAAAATAATTTATTGTTTGTAGTTGTGAATTTCTGAGATTGCCATTTTTTTTGTATTTATAATCTACTTTGCATATATTTTAAAAGAATACTGATTCAGTCCCCCATCTAGTATTCTTAGTGTATCTATATTCAATCTTATACGCCTAAGCAGCGTTGCTGGTTTAGTCTTTTGCCGACGTGAAAAGATCACAGATCCGTTTGGGGACTTTTTCAGAATCTAAGAAGGAATGATAGTCAGAGTCTAATACGCGTGTTGCCGGTGTCTTTCCCTGTAAGAAGACGAAGTCTACGTATTCAATTATCGTTTAGCACTAATGAGTTAACTCTTTTAGCATAACTCACTATTGTGGAACGGACTTAACAATTACGCATGGCAAGCTCGATTTCAAACGGTAATCCGGTAAAGAGCACGGTCAAATCTGTTGATGGCTGGGATTTTAATAAAATCCTGTAGTCTCATTTGTACATTGCGACCGGTATGTTATTTCCGTGAGAAAGACAAAGTCTACGTATTCAATATATAGCCACTAGAGGTTACTCTTTTAGACAATGTTACATTGCGAAACGGACTTAAAAATTCGCATGCATTAGCCCGACTCAACGCGGTAGTTGGTATAGGCTCATCAATCCTCTTGATGGCTTTGGGAGGTTTGTCAAAAATCCTATAAAGTGTGAGAATGTCTTTGACGCACCAGCTTCATTGTTGGTCTTGGTTGGCTTTGAGGGAGTCCACAACTTCAGGATAAGATCTTATCAGAGGAATCCTAGTTTAATTAGTTTGGTCTGCCAACCCGATATTGGTGACGCCATGTCAAATTGTCTTAAGAGTTTAAACTGTGTGTATACTCCAGCAATCGTTACGAGTTATAAACTATTGTTAACACCTGTTAACGCGTACAGTAAGGTTAATGCCGGTCAACGCTATGTACAGTAAAAAGAAAACGAGGGCCGTCGTCATACGTCGACGATTTTCCAAATATAAGGCTAATGGAAAACTTTTGGATTATAAGAATGTTTCCAAGGAGTTCATTGCGATTCAAGATATGAATTCCGTACGAGATTAATCAGTTTCAATAGTGTAATCAATGGACACGAGCAAACAACTGACCAATTATCGATTCGAAGATTTCAACAACGGTTCAGACGATAAAACACAGCACCGGAAAGAAATTTATCTATTTAACCAATAATTACTGAATAGGTTGATAGAAGTCTCATGAATTTAAAGCAGGTACAGGTCCTCTTTGACACGATCTGAAGTGTGTGCCTATTCACATCCAAAATATTTTAGACTCCTCTATAAAGAATAAGCTTAAACACTTTGGAGGGGGCATCCTGTGTATTGGCGTCTAAAACTACCTGATAGGGTTCCCGTATGCAGCTCTGAGATAGAGAGAGACAATGAATGTATTCAATCAAGCGAAGTTATCTGATGCTGATAAGCGCGCATGAGAAAATCTGGGAACTCTTCATTGATGAGTGAATGAGTACTGGATGTAGCATTGGCTACTCTAAATCGGTCAAAACGATGCCTGTGCACCACAGCACCTCCAGGGCCCGCTATGCTCAGTCGGCACCTAGATGGCGAATTAAGCCGTCTCGTTGCGCTCACGGCCATCTTTAATTGGCCCGAGCATTCATTTCGTTAGATCCAAGTGCCCGCTGTATTTTGCGGTAAACCTCAAGCGCTCCGCAGCACTTGTTCGTGTTCAACCCAGCGCCTCGCCGCATCTTGTCGCGTCAACTCCATAGTGCCGTAAAGAGCTAACGGCGCATGAAGCTAAGTTAACGACCGCGTGCAAGTCAACAAGACGTTTCACATACCAAAACGGAAGAAGAATACTAAGTCCCAAAAAATCAGAACACCTAAGAGTTCAGCAAGGCCAGATCTATCCGCGCCAACGCGGACGCGGCAGCTGACCATGTCAGCGCGTATCAGCATCAGCCGACCCGGCCCCCTGGTTTAGCTGCGGCTGACCTGCGGCCCCCTACGGGTCAGCAGTTTTCGACCTCAAACGGACGTTATCGACGGCTTCTTTTGCTATTTCAGTGATTGTTCGTTTCCAGAGTGTTCTCATGTGTTTGATATCATCCATAAACGTGGTTAGGCCGTTATTAACTAAAGATAAGGTCAAATCACTCATTATTATCCGAAAACCCCCCAACCGATGCCTATAAATAAAGGCCTAGGGGCTCATTTCATAGGGGCAGATTATTATCAAGAGGGTAAGGTGCTGCCGGATTGAGGAGTCAAAGGAGCACGAATTTACAGCGAAGGCAAGTCAGATCCCGACGAACTTCAGCATAAAGATGAAGGCTTTCGAAGGATCTTAACCCGTATTTTCTTCCGTCTGTTCCTTAAGATTAGGCTTGGTCTTAATCTCGAGAAGAGCTACTGATTTTGCTTGGTCGATCTCAGTGCTTAAAACGAATACTTCCTTGGTGAAATAGGAGCTCTGTCAATTTTTCGACAACCGGATCTGATCCGCGGTCGTCCACGGATATCAAAATCCCTGGCACAAGCGAAGACCTCATGCAAGCAAGAGTTGATAAACAGTTCTTGTGTTTATTTTCTAGAAAATTGTAATCTTTAGTTTTGTCGTTTAAATTCATTATAAACGATCAAAGTTGTAATGAACTCGATACTAAAGAACACTTTCGACGAAAACAATGAGCCGCCAAAAATAGCAGCGCTATAACGTTTTGTCTTATAAGTAACAAGTAAGGTGTTCACCAAAAATGCCCTAGTGAGTTTGACCAATTCCCGACATGCTTAAAGCCAATAAATCTCGTTCCTACCCTTTCCAAGTTCCAATGACTAGAGAGGTTACTTAATCCTTAAGAAAAGCATTTATTCCCACGATGGCCCATGTTCCAATAGGTTAGAAAAATCTCAGAACCTTCAAGAGAGCATTCATTTATGTGGACCTCACTCTCCACAAGTCCAGTGACTATAAGAGATTATATACAATTATGGGTAAATTGCAAAAAAAATGCCTTATTGTTTCTCTAACATTGTAAAAAGGTGAGCTCTATTTTAAAACCTGGCAAATAAATGCCCCAAATTATTTAAATATTGCATATCGGTGCTAAGTTAAAAAAATCCAGAAGGCGTTAGTATCCAAGAATATCACATAACACAATATACTAAAGTGCATCTTTGAGATATTTATTTACAACATTTAAATATTTTGGGGTGTTTATTTGCTCGGTTTTAAAATAGACGTCACTTTTTTGCAATGTTAGCGAAACAGTACGGCATTTCTTTTGCAATTTACCCGACGACTATCAAAGGGCCAAATCGAAACGTTGTATCTAAAACATCTTTGACGTACGTGCATCCATTACTTTAGAAAAAGAAAGGAAAAAAAAAGAAAAAGAAAAAGAAAGGGAGAAAAAAAGGTGTTTCCATTATTTCAGCTTTCCCTTTATTAAGATCGCGACCAGAACCCTCAAACCTCTCATGATCACTTCACTCGCTCGCTCCCCTTACGCTTGCTTTGATCTCTTAGAGTCACCGTCTCTTTCACCTTACATCATCAACTCACTGCAAATTTCGCCTTGAGATTTGTGATGTTTTCTTTTTTCTCTTGGATCGATCTTGCCGTAATATGTACCTTCATTTTGCCTTCATTTTGCCTTAATTTTTTTTAACTTTTTTTTTCTAATTCCGTCCCGACTCCGGCCTGTCCTAAACTTGAGAAATCGTCTTGTGGGCTAATGATCGCTAAGTTTAATTTTCTGCGAACTGTTTTCTGCCATATTTCTTTAATTTTTTTTCTGTGATTTTATTGTTCTTGCGGGGGTTAAAGTTGTTTCTTGCGTTCAGCTGATTGGAAACCCAGCCAGGTTGCTTCGATCTGAAGGCGATCCTATCTATTGCTACTCCTTGAAAATGAACGTACGGAACAGTAATATTAATCTTCTCCTAAGCATTTCCTCATTCGCCTGGTCTAATTTGAGATGATGTACGTGCGTAGGTTGTGGATAAAGAGGGCGTGATACACGACAGATGCCCCGCCGCCGGGTATCCGAGGCAGCGATGGGCGACGGCTTGGGACGACGGTCCGGGAGGCCAAGTCAAGCACATAAATATATACCACGGAGAAATCATACACTCCATCCAAACCACTTATCAACGGAACGGGACCCTCGTCATGTCCCGTAAACACGGTGGAGCTGAAGACAACTTCACTATGGTACCACCTTTCCCGTAGGGGCGTATTTTAATTTTATAATTAAAGATCAAGTTAAAATGATAAGAGCTTTGTTACAGGGACTCAAAATATGGGACCAGTAGGGGATAAGTGAGGTGTCCCCCTCCTATTGGATAATGAGTTGGTCATCATTAATTAAATGATGGACATGATGGCCAACTCAGTATCCAATAGGAGGGGGACACCTCACTTGTCCCCCCTATTAGTCCCATATTTTAGATCCTTTAGGAATTTTTCAAATGATAATAATCTGCACCCTGTTACAGTTGTTGGTTTTACTATAGCCAGCCATGTTCTTTTTTAATTTTCTTTGGTTTAATTACCTTGCAGATCAATTTCAGTGAACCTCTTACCTGTGTCAGCGGTCACTACGGCCCCTTCTGTTTTGATAATGAGGCGGCAATATTCAACCGTGAAGACGAGGATGAGTATCTGCTCCGCGTGATCAACTCGCTCAAGTTTAGTACTGCTCGAAACACCTACGGGCCATTTGGTACAGAGAGGGGCACGCCTTTTTCTTTCCAAACTGTAACAGAAATTACTGGGTTCCACGGGATCCGCCCGAGTTCAGTTAATGTGGGTCATCTGCATGCGATCGGGGTTTACGTTCGCTGCCCTGCAACACAATATATCGATGATCCTGCAACGCAGGTCGTCGTGAAATATGAAAAAACTTAGAATGCCCAGGTAAAACAAGCTGTAGTAGAGTGAGTTTATGCCTCTGATTTTTTCTTTTTCTTTTTTTTTTGTTGTGTTGGATTTCGTGGGTCTTGGTGTGTACGTATTTGCCTACTTGGTAGTGGGATGTACTTGGGAGTAGGTTAAGTAGTTTTTTCCCCCTTGACTGTGGTGGATGATTGTAAAATCCAAGGAGGAACTGGCTTTATGGATCAATGGTAATGCATTATCTAGTTTTCAAATAAAAGTCTTAAGGCATCAATTCGAAGCCTTCAAAATGTTGGGAAAAAACAAGGTTAAAAACAAACCCAGACATAAGCGGAAGAAACCACACAGAAATAAAGAATAGAGCAGAGAGTTAAAAACATCATAACTAATAAAGTTCAAGTCTGAAATACTTTACAGAAATGCCGAATCGCCCTCTAAATAGATGACTAGCCTTGAAAAAATTATGTCCCACCTACGACTGCGTTGGGTTCGCGCAATAGTTTCGAGGATGAGACAGCAGCAGTTCGAAGAAGCGTTCTCTTCTGTTGAACACTTCGACTGCAACTTCACTTCATCGAAATCTTCAATACCAGCAGCTTATAAAATTATAAAAGGAAGACAATAGAAGAATTTTATTTTTATTTTCTGTGTCTCTCAAATGAACAAAGGAAGCCATTTATATAGGGTTCAGGTGAGGTGAGATTAGACAAGGCTTTGAATGTCAGTTATTACAACGTTTGTAGCGTCTGCTATAAATATTATTCAAACCTTGTAATGTTTGTAACTTACGAAACATTCAAGCTCGTTAAATGCAGCACGTGTCGGACCAAACGCACGGACCACATGTGTCGTCCGTGCGCATGGACCCGCACATGAGTCGCTCTCACGAACCCGCTCGCTTGAGCCCCCACTCTCGCTAGCATACCAATACAAGTATACATTTCTAATACCTTTGTTATATCATATATAACATATATGTTAATTTGAACTATTTAAAATGCATTCAATTAGTCAAGCTGGTACTAAAACTCACATGCTGCTAACTAAACACCTTTTTATTTTTCATCTATGAAATCCAACCATATAAATGGTATCTTTTCATATAAATCCTCAATTTTCATTTATATCAACAATACCCCCACAATTCCATCTATCTACCCTTTAAAAGAGGGAGTTCATGAAAAACTTTACTCTCCCCAAAATAGCCTTACCCTAAATTTAATTACCAAACATATCCCAAAATAGCCTCCCCAAAATACCCTTTCATCAGTTACAAATATTTTCCTCCTTTCGATTCATCGTTCCTTTCAATTCATCGGTCCCCAAAATACACTTTACTCCTTTCAATTCCTCCTCCTCCTCCTCCTCCTTTGATCTTCCATTACCTCCAACAACTTTTAGAGATCGATGAATTCAATTCACCAGTTCATCCGTTACCCTTCATCTCAGCCCCTCGTCTCGGTTCTTACGTTACGCCGTCCCACGATCTTAAGCCATAAATTTCAAAAGAAGAGTATTATTTCCCTAATCATCAACCCATCTCCGCCATCATCTCCTCATTTGTCAGAATTTTTGCAGCGGGTAGAATCAGGAAGGAATTTCATTGAAGAAGGTATTACTTAATTTTTCCTACGCTTTCTGCTCAATTCATCATCTCACCTTTTTGTTCTTCATTCTCATTTTGTTCTAATTCAACAATAGGTCAAGGATTGTCTGAATTAGGGCTTGCTTCAAGTCTTCATCTTGCTCCTGTGTCAGTTTCAAAAGGTAAAAATTCAATTGTTATTTTTTTTAATTTATGGTTTATGTCCTTTTAGTTAATTTTGGTGAATTAGTTTTTTTAATTTTGAGCTGAATTGAGGAAATTAGTGGTGGACGACTTTGTTAGATTGTATTTGCAGACACAAAAGGGGAAAGTTGAGTGAGTTTGTTAGATAGTATTTGCAGACACAAAAGGAAAAACATGACTGAGTTTGTTAGATAGTATTTGCAGACAGAATGATATTGTTGTGTCTATGTTTTACTGAACTTTCAGAGTCATGACCAAACCTAGAAATTAGATTTTCCAAATATGTAGATATAATATTGCCCGACTCATACTCTCAATCCACTTTATTTACAGTTGTCATTATGCATGATATTGGCAATAAAATTTATCGAGAAAATCTGTCTTTTTTTATATCAAGATATGCTTGAATTATCACCGTTGCTCACATTGTGTATGTACATGTACTTGTTTGTCATTGCATATATCTTTGGTGCGCGACTGAACAACATACATACATATATGCATCCATTGGTATGCCTCCTACATCACAATCCCACCATCAATAGTAAACACCTGCAGATTATTTAGAAACATGTCAATATTTCAACTTTGAAGGCAACAAGGAGGTAGATGGTTAAGTGTAAATTTCCACAAAAACCCGCTTGCACTTGTTTAATTCCCATAAACCCACAGAACTCTTCCCTCAAAACCCCTCTGAATTATGTTTATTCTGAACTTCTCCCACAAAACACTTTGCGTTGGGGGTTTGGGGTTTTGGGTGGGAAAAGTTTTGGGGTTTAGTAGGAAGTTTTGGGCAGTTTTGTGAAATTAAACAATAATTAACCTCTGAAATTAGAACGCTGATGTAAACAGGTATCAAAATTAATTGATCAAAGGCTAAAGTTACCTGTCCTGTAATGTAACTGGCAGTAGGATTGAGGGACAAAAATTCCACTAAACCAGCAACTTCTTCAGGTTTACCAAACCTCCCTGAAAAAGACATCATGTAAATAAGAATACTTAAAAGTGTTCAATGGTTAATGATAATGTAAAAATTCAATTGTTATTTTTTTTTAAATTTATGGTTTATGTCCTTTTAGTTAATTTTGGTGAATTAGTTTTTTAATTTTGAGCTAAATTGAGGAAATTAGTGGTGGACGACTTTGTTAGATTGTATTTGCAGACACAAAAGGGGAAAGTTGAGTGAGTTTGTTAGATAGTATTTGCAGACACAAAAGGGGAAACATGACTGAGTTTGTTAGATAGTATTTACAGACAGAATGATATTGTTGTGTCTATGTTTTACTGAACTTTCAGAGTCAAGACCAAACCTAGAAATTAGATTTTCCAAAAATGTAGATATAATATTGCCCGACTCATACTCTCAATCCACTTTATTTACAGTTGTCATTATGCATGATATTGGCAATAAAATTTATCAAGAAAATCTGTTTGTTTTTATATCAAGATATGTTTGAATTATCACCGTTGCTCACATTGTGTATGTACATGTACTTGTTTGTCATTGCATATATCTTTGGTGCGCGTCTGAACAACATACATACATATATGCATCCATTGGTACATAATATAGAAATACAAAGTTGTGTGAATCCAACAGATTCACCATAGATGTTTACATGTATTACATAGAAATTTTGCCAGCTCAGGTCAGTTACCCTATATTATAGATGGTTTTCTGTTTTCAGAAGTTATAAACTGGGCACACTACATAAGATATTTAAGCCTGATGTGAAGTGAACAAAACTTAAACAACCCCTCTTGAATCCTGTGGAACTTTGGCTTTTCTCTCTCTCTCTTTTTATCAACCTGGGATGTTAAACCATTGAGTAGAGTGTAGAAATAACATATGAATTAATGATGACTATAACTTATTTTAAATTTCAAAATGATCTTTTTTGGTTCTTTGATCTGTTACTTCTTACATATTTTAACTCACAATGTGAACAGAGACAAGCAAGACATGTGAATCGTAACTGTACTGAAAGTACCATAACGTAGTTTTAAAAACTTCAAGCTATCTTTCTGCTTATATGCACAACTTGGTTCATTTTTTTAATGTCAAGTTCATTTGTAAACACCTTTGTGATATTCATATTACAAGTGGCATCCTTCTGTTTTACCTTTATGCATTTTATTTATATTATTCTGCCTATTAAGTACTTTATTTACTTAGAGGACTGACGCATATTTGCACGGAAATGACTGCAAAGAGTTGCATGCTATGAATTGATGTAGGAAATTTTGATTTATAAGACACTTTAGTTTTATTTAATATTATAGTTAACGTTCTTGTTTACTTTTCCTTAAAAGATATCTTCTTTTGCCCTTTGTAATTGTTTTGCTTGCTCCTACATGCATGTTTTTCAAACATTGACTTGCTTAGATAATTACAAAGCCCATTCATAATTTTAAATTATCACCTAGCCGATGTTGTTCTTACCTGTGTAAGATAGGTGTTATTTTAGTTTCTAAAAATATTTTAAAGGTAATGAAAATTTCCCCGGTATTAATAAATGAGTTTGATACTCAATTTATGATATTGATAAAATTCGATCCATGAAGTCTTTTCTATGTGTATTAGTGATCCGGAAATGAGCACAGTCCAATCTCCTGTAAATTATTTTGTATGAACTATATAGTGTTAACTAAGAGTACCAATGAAATTATGCCTTAACTATGAGCATGATCTCAACAACATTGCATAAAACTGTAAATTAATTTACAAACGAATTTGGATTGTTTTAAAATACTTGCTCAGTTTTGAAAGATTAAGGAAAGCTGCAAATGCTGAGATGTATTCACCTTATTCGTTCTAAAATTCATTGATCTCTGAAACTTAGCAGTCCATTTCTGTGCATTAGTAACTATTAAGTCATAATAGCACTTGGGTCTCTATGTTTCAGATGTCTTACTGTAATAGCACCAGAACCCAACACATACACGCTTACAATGATATGCATCGAAATTTACTCACACATGTTCAATTTTTATAAATACCATAATGTCAATTTATCATGTCTGCATCCTATATGCTTGAAGATGAAAAAACCTGACAAAGAAAATACCTTTAAACTAAAATTTTGTGTTGGCACTTGTGTTTTTAAGGGCATTTTGGGGAATTCAATCTCAAGAAAAGTAAATATTCATACCAAATAGAATAGTCATCTTTCTTGTCATTATGCATGTCCATAATTCTTTTGTGGTTTCGTAACAGATGTTGAAACGCATAACACGCATATCTTTCTATAGAGAAGGTAGCTAATTTTACAAAATTGTTATTCTAATTTATTTCTTTTAGTAGCCCAAATTTATTTGTATCTGTTTTATGACATGGCCAGGTTCTCAGTGTTCTTAAAAGAATAATCAATGAAGATTACGTACCTACTACTAGATTTCATACCGAAAGATGATATCTACAACAATAGAACTACAAGGGTAGTAAGTTCAATTTGGCGATAGCATAAGGGTTCTATTTGCAGTTAATCCTTCTTTAAAAGCATTATGCACAATGAAACTGTTGGCTATAGTTCAGCTTATTGAAGTACTTGTGTTTTTAAATAGAACAAGCCCATCAGAATTTGTTGTTCCTTTGGCCAAATACAACAAGTCAATGTACACCCAAGTCTCTCTCGGTATGAGATTCAGGATGATGTTTGAGACCGAGGAGTCTGGAGTACGTAGATACATGGGAACAATCACTGGCATCAATGATTTGGATCATGTTCGGTGGAAAAATTCACAGTGGCGTAATCTGCAGGTATGGATATAATAGTGGCTTTTACCATTGTACAAACAATGTTCTTAGAATTATAATGGAAACATAGTATAATATTCCAACACTTGCATATAAGTTATGGCTGTCCATTTATGACGTTAGTACTTTTTCATTCCTTATCACCATAGAATCACGAGTAAACCACATTCAGATTATGAAAAAAAGGAAAAAGGAAAACAGAATATGCTGTCCATTTATGACGTTAGTACCTTTTTATTCCTTATCACCATAGAATCATGAATAAATCACATCCAGAATATGAAAAAAAAAGAAAAAAAGAAAAAAAAAGGATAATTTTATCAGAAAATGGAGTTTTTGAGGAGGAGCTTCAATTTGTGCCTATTTATCTGTAGAGCTCGACAAACCTGGGATGAAGGATATGCCAAAACATTCAATAAATATCTGATACATTTCCCCTCTAAGAACTTACAGCTTTAATTATAGACTTAGTTCAGTTCAGAAGCAATATTATCTGAAGTATAGTCATTGTGATGAACCATTTATAGTCCTCATGGTCCTCATGTTAATTAGGTTGGCTGGGATGAATCGACAACTACTGAAAGAAGAACAAGAGTATCACTATGGGAGATTGAACCTGTGACAACTCCTTTTTATATATGCCCCCCTCCCTTTTTCAGACCAAAGTTCCCTAAACAACCAGGGATTCCAGGTATACTTATTTTGAAATTATCACTATGGACCTCCCATTACAATAGTTATATAATTTTAAAATTCTGTTTGAGATATAGCTTAACTGGGTTTTCTTTTGGCAGTTGCCAAAAATAGCCCTTTGTTTCTGTAATATTCATATGCTCCAAATTTCTGCTAAAAAACAAGTGAACAGGCATGGCATGTGCAATTTGATTTCTGCAGGTCAGATAGAATATAAAATTGGACTGTGAATTTGAACTTTTCAATAGGTTCTGCAAAAACATTAACCTTCTCCTCTTATCTCTTTGTTTCTGCAAAAACAATGCAATCTTGGAATCTTGATGGATATAGTTTCTGGGTTGTTGGGTAAGTCATTTTGTTCCTCTTATCTCTTTGTTTTTAGTGGTTCAGTATGACATAGTTCACATTATACTTATGCACGTTAAGTTCATTTATTCGACAATGGACAAAGGTAACATTTTTTCGTGCATTACACATATCGTTTTATCAAGATATCATTGTCTATGTAGCTATGGTTATAGTTAACATAATTCTGATGCTTTAAATAAATAATTTTACAGTAACAGTTGAATGAAAGGCGCGTTTTGTATGGTTTGACCGATCTTCATCTTCTGTACTTACTCATTAGTAGTTATGTTGCTTTAGCATTTTCAGGAAAGTAATTCTTTTCTCATTTTCCACCTCCCTATGTAGCAAAGACAGTGATTAAATAATATCATTTTAAAGGAATATTATTTATTTATATTTTCCAAATTGTTGTAAACTTTTCAGTGAGAAAAGAAATCTCAACAAGAATTCTTCTTTCTAGCAAATGGATGATCTACCTAATGTAAAAAGTAGATGGTAAAATGTTTTTACTTTTGGTGGGGTATCATTGTTTCAGAAGTGATGTTGTGTTTTAAATTTACAGTTTTTGCACTGGTTGGTTTCACATGTCCATCTTCGGAGAAAGACCATATCACCATTTCCTTATGTGTCTAAACTCTAATTTTGATTAGGTGAAGACCACTCTCAAAGGATCTATGGAGATGAGAGTAAGCCAAATTCAATTAATTTATCTAAATATTGTGGTATCCTTGACGTTGTTATGAAAATGTCCTCTTTTTACAGTTTGAGAGGAGTGACGACCCTTTGGAGAAAATAACCACAAGTGAGCAAATCGAAAGTATAGCTGAGTTATATACGTCTCAAGGGGAACCTGTAACTGTTCGATCTTTCTGACCAATTCATGCTAAGATACTCGCCACGGTTAGTGACAGTTTGTAACTAATTTTTTAACAAATATCACAGCTAGGGTTAGTGACAGTTTGCATAGTTTTCAGCATCACAATAATTTTCTTCCATGGGATATCTGATCTAATTTCTGAGCTATTGAAACAGTCTAGGATTTAGCTAATTTTAATTGATTTGCTATTGTAAGAGGAAATGCTAAGTGATTACTGACAATTACTTCATGACTAAATGACATTGATAAATTTTAATATCAATTTATTTTAATATCAAGTAACAATTTATTTTAAGTTTGCACATGATTGTTGTAGGTGTTTCTGAAAAAACTATAAGATAATTTACTGGCACATCAATCATATTCATTGATGAGATAGATGCAATTGCTTCCAAGCGAGAAAACCTGCAAAGGGAGATGGAACGGCGGATAGTAACACAACATATGACTTGCATGGATGAATCACATCACACTCAGTCTTCTGATGATTCCCAAAAACATCTGAGAAGAAGCTTGATTATGTTCTTGTTATCGGAGCAACAAACAAACCAGATGCACTTGACCAAGCTTTAAGGAGACCTGGACGGTTTGATCGTGAGATTTCTTTGGGTGTACCTGATGAAAAAACCACTGCTAGAGATCCTCTCAGTTCTTACTCGAGAATGTAAATGTGTGTTTTGGAGAGAGTGGAGTCAATGAGACATAGTTTTATATAATAATTATGTCCTTTTGAAGTTTTAAGTGTTTCATAAAATTTCAAACTGAGTATTGCATGATTGCAAGGTTAGGTGATCAATGGGTTCCTATCGTTCAATTGCATTGCAAATGAGCATGGTTTTGGTTTGGATATATTCACATGAGTTGGGAAGAGAAAAAACTGAAAATATGTTGTTTGTGTAACTTTGTTTTGGATGAATCCTCAGGTACAAGTTCAGATGAAATTAAACTAAACCATATGATGCTTTTTGGAATATGTCATGGTATCTGTAGAATTTGATTTTCGTTAAAGTAGAGTATTACCTTATGTAGAGTATACAATTAAGAAATTAACTATGATTTAAATTTATCTACAGGAAAGTTCATGTTGTTATCAGTCAATTTCCAAAGGTTAACTTCATGACCGCTATAATTCATCAATCTAAAGGGAAACAAAAAGTGCAGTCAGAAGATTTTGCTTGGATTTACATCCACATCTTCAAACATTACTTTTAGGTATATTCTTGTTATTGTATTTGATTGATCAATCACCTTGTAGATACAACCACTCTACTATCGCATAATTGATCCTTAAATATAAATGTATTATTCAAACATTTTTAATTTTTAGCTTATGTTCATATATATTGTGTTCATTCATTAAATTTATACCAAATCTTTCCATAAATATAATTATAATGTAAATTAATATTAAAAATTTTACCACGTGCATTGCACGTGCAATCTAACTAGTAGCTGAAAATAAAGAAGAGTATACATATCATGCTTTTAGAGAGGATATTTCTGATTTGAACCTTCCCTATAGTTATTCAATTTTATCACTACAGGCACGAAGTTAAACTAAGTTTTGAACCTGAACTTTTGATGTGGTGATTGTAGGCGTCTAAAAATGCCTATAGGTATCCACACATAGCTCGAGACGGAGAGAATGTGATGAACGCTATTATCTAAGTCAAAGAGGATTATCTGACACCGACTAGCGAATCAATGAACTATTGATGACATGGCCCGCACGCTCATCGGCCACCAAAATAGCAAATGGTGGCCGACAGGTAGCCTAGCCAGCAAATGGTGGCCGACAGGTAGCCTAGCCAGCAAATGGTGGCCGACAGGTAGCCGAGCCACCAAATGGTGGCCGACAGGTAGCCGAGCCACCAAATGGTGGCCGAGCCACCAAATGGTGACTCGCACAGTCCCGAGCCACCAGGACTCTTATTGAGTACAAAACCTTCCCAAACACGGATTTCGATGATTTTTAATGATTCTTTCGTCCCAGAACCTCTCCAACTGTTTTGAGGTTATCCCTGGATGCGTTTAAACAGTTCTAAACTGCAGAGGACGTTTAAACATAAATTATTATTCAAAAGGACATCTCCAAAGGCCTATAAATAGAAGTCAAGGGTCTTCTTTCAAGGGCATCTAGGATCTGAGATTGAGAAGGCGAGGTGCTGTCAAATTGTCCAGTTAACCACGAATTTCACAGGAGAATCATCAGAGCTTGGCGAACACTTTCATAAAGAAAGCCCCTTCGAAAGGTTTGTGATTCTTTCCCCTTCTTTCCTCCGGATTAAACTTGGTTTTAATCTCGAGAAGAGCCACAATCTCGCTTGGTCGTGATTGTCGCTTCCGCAATTGTTTCCTTCGTGAAACAAGAGCGTAATTATACTGTCGATCGGGTTTGATCTGCGGTGGTCCACGGACTAACGCGTCCCCAGCACAGGCAAAGATCCCACGCAAAACAGCAGGAGATAAACTACTGCTGCGTTTTGTTTGATAAAGTTGTAATCTTTATTTTTTCGTTGTAAGAAGATCTTATAAAAAGATCAACTCTTTTTTTAGTTTGAACTTGTAATCGATAAACGGTGTAACAGGTTTGAAAACAATGGAAAAGGCAACTTTTGACACAAACAAACTGGCGACCACAGTGGGAGCCAATAGCTTCGCTACCGAAGCTATCGTGCCGCAACCACGGATCCAAATCCCGGTTGAAGAAGTGGTCGAGTACGAATTCGACCAATTGAAGTTCGAGGAGTATCTATCGTCCTCCTCCTCCAGATCCTCTACCCCTCGCAAGCGTAGGAAGATCAAAGCCCCCGTTGTTGTGGGTAGCTGCACCTTGCAACGCCCCTTCAGCCTCCAACGAAGTCGGATCTACAGATCTAGACTCCTCCTCGATCAAGGAGATAACCACAGTAACCGCGCCAACTTTATCGAAGAGGGCACGCCAAAGGCAGCGCCAACGACTTGCGCGCCGATTTGCTAAGGCTTTGAAGCCTATTGACGGGATTGGCTATGAGACGGATCTGAAACGCAGAAGGCACCAAGTGCCCCAGGAGCAAATAAATGGCCTCTCCTCCAAACCAACAGCGAATGAGTGGATCCAAGTCAAATGGGCCCGCTCAACCCTCGAGGAGCGCATTCAGAAGTGTCGTGCCTTGATGGCGCACGCACGAATTCTCGTGCGAGACGCGCAGAAGCTGAAGCGAAAAGAGGTGATTAAGAAACCACCAAAACCACGCTAGGTCTGGAAACCAAAGTCCGAAACAGCGTTCACAAAAAGTCAAACAGCGTCCGGAGCTGCCGAAATACGCGAACCACCGTCTGGTGGCTCGGCCCAAACCGAGCCACCAAACGGTGGCTCGGCCCAAG